CTGCTTGGGTTGCCAGCTTCCTTCTAAAGGACATGGACAGGAAGGCCACAGGGTACAGTGAATGGTTGGGCTTCAGTTCCAGCAGTTTCACCTGTGACAGGGTCAATCAATTTGGCCTGATAAGGAATAATAGTTGGGCTTGGCTTTATTTATTAATCTATAAAGACTATGGGCCATATGACCTACTCTTACATCATCTACTAAATCAGGGGTGTCAAACTCAATTTCACTGAGGGCCGCATCAGCATTGCGGGGGTGTGTGGATGGAGTGGGTTGTGACCTACTGGGTGGGTGTGGCCAGCTCTACATCGTTCGCATCAAGAGTGCCTGTGGGAGCCTGGGCAGGAGTGGGACAGATCTGAAGGTCTCTGGCAGAAGGGGGTGGGACCAGGACAAGTGTCAAGGCATGATCCACTGGAGGAGCCCCACTGTTCCTCTCAGGCCATGCGGGGGGGGGGGGCTTATGGAACTAAGACTGAATGTGTTTCAGCATAGATGGCCACCACAAAATTGTATATTGGCTCCCGGCCGGCCTGGACTAGGGCCAAGGCAGAGGGGGCCGTTCCCTCACTGTTTCCAGGATGGCTTCGCAGGCCACATGAAACCACTTTGCGGACCACATCCGGCCCCCGGGCCTTGTGTTTGACATGTCTGTACTAAATCAAAAGGCAACTGCATCCACATAGGAGTAAAGATTCTCCTGGCCAGATCTTTCTGAAGGTGTAAAGAATACCAGGCTAAGAGGAGAAGTATTTTGTTCCTGTCACATCAACCTTTACAAGATATCTGGGTACCTTGCAGCTTTCACCTGAGCAATCTTGTAGCTGAAGTAGCACAAAGGCCTACACACCGAAATTCAGTACAATAAACCATATGAGACGTCTGAGAGAAAACCAACCAGCTGAATGCTGAATTGGACCTTATGAGGATTAGGTACAAAGTATAAAGGGAGGACCTGGAAACTATGATATCAGAAAGTTGGAGCTCAAAGAACCATCAATAATCAGTTTAAAAGCAAGCCAGAAACTCAGTTCAAGTTAAGCATATTCCAGACTGGGATACAGAAATGAAGTACGCCACAGATTGCAAACCAAAAGCTGGCCGAAAAACAATAAATAGACCGTAAAAATTAATGGTTTCAAAAAAGGGAAGAAGAAAAAACAAAGGGTATGTCACAGAAGTGAGGTTTAGAGCAAGCAAGAGGATAAGTAGCTCAGGATAGTTTAGCTACACATGGAGGTAATTCGTAGAGTTGGCATCCAAGCTGTGGGGTTTTCACCTCCTCAGCTCTCTGCCTCTGGGGTTGAGAGACTTGACTTCTGAGATTTTTAGAAACATCACATAGCTCCTTTGCCTCCCAGGCAGCCCAGAATTATGCCCTCAAATTCACAAACATACCCCAAATGAAATATCTTCCTGTTCAAAGGATCCTTTGAAATGTACTTCTGCAAAACAACCTTGGCTATCAGTCTACAAAACAGTATACAACGTGGCCTCAGTGACATCTCTCAACAATGGAAAAAAACCAGAAAAAAAGACCTTCTTGTATATAATCTGTCCTCTGTGTCCCAAGCCAATCCCTGGATTTTTGCCCTTTATAAAGCCCGTCTCACGTCTGTAAACAACTCAATCAGCTGGGTTTTTGTAGCCTGCTTTGGTAGGGAAGTCTCAACAAGCTAACAGTTGTATGTGAACAGAGGCCAGCAGTTTACTGCAGTCAATCTTTGGCTGGAGACCCGCCCCAAATTTTCCATCTACACAGCCTCCAGCCTCTGCTGCTTCTTAGTCTCTCTTTTTCTTTCCCTGCCAACACCTACAAAGCCCAAAAGAGGTAAAAACCAGAGGACTTTGATTTCTTCATTTTGTCCATGCCATCGTTACTCATCTCTAGTGAGTCTGGCATCCATTCCTCTCTGCTGTATTTCTGTTTTTAATGCCTGGAAAATATGGAAAAAATATGGGGGAAACATTAGCCAAAACATACTATGCCCCATTCTTTGCTTTTAGAGAAACTGTGTATCAAATACAAGGAAATAAGAAAATCATACTTCTATGGGAATAAGGAAATATAAGTCACCTTGGGCAAGATGGGCAGCATACAAGTTTGATAAGTAAATAAGGAACTCATACTTCTCCTCTTGGTTCAGAGAGCAAGCTAAGGTCAATCAATAGGAGAGAATTACTAATACTAATCAGTAGGCAAAATACAGAATAGCGGAGTTGGAAGGGACCTTGGGGGTCTTTCTCCCGAATTACTCCTACTCCCCAACAGGAGAGCCTTTACCATTCTGGACTCATAGGAAAGAAACGACAAAAAACTCTAAAATCGTAAAGCAAAAGGAGAAGTAAAATAGATTAAAAGGGAAAGGAAGACTAATGAAAATAAGAGAAAATAATGAAGGGAATTAAGCATCCTTACAAATTACCCACAAAGCTTAGGAGTTCTACTGAGGCCACTTGATAGACAGATGTAGTGTTTTATCAACCTATGTTCTTTTACAAGTTAGAATGAAGTTACATTTCCATCTGCTGATTTCCAAAACCCTGTTACCCAGGAACACTAAGCACAATGCAGTACATTTCACAGCACTTTCAAAAACATAGTTATACTAATTCTTGTATTCCCACTATAAAGAGTAGACTAGTTTTATTACACAGTGAGGGACAGAGAATTCAAGTTGGGAACTTAGCTTGTTGAAAATGCTCTACGAAGTCAACTGCTAAGAGATTATATGAATTACTGACTTTGCAAGTAGAACCGACTTTTAAATATTACATGATGGCAGGATAGACAAACTATATTTTTAGATGTTCTGAGCCATGCTCTCTGATGGCCATGCTTTCTGAAAGTTTATTAAAGACAATATTTAGTATCTTCAGAAAATCACATAATTGCCTATTCCTGTATTACCCTGTCTCTGATGCTTAGGTTTTCATCAACTGCTTTCTCACAGTTAAATATAATTCTTGCTTATTTAACAATTGTTTTCTGAAGTATCCTCTTTATTTCTATACATTTTAAATCAAAATAACTAACTTTTTAAAGTGTAATTTGTTTGGAGTGAAGCAGTAGATCATGTTATCTGCATTTTACCTTTCTCTTTCAAAATTAGGGCAACAGTATGCATTAACTTCTAAAGAAGTTAAGTATTGTAGTCATCTAGTAATATAACTGGACATTTCTATCTTTGCAATCTGTGATCCTCAATATATATTTTATAGTATTAGTAATTTGTTTTCATGCCATCTGTCTATCAAGTGGCCATAGGCTCAAGGATATTGCCATAAGATTGCTATCATTGCCAAATAGATCATTTAAAGATATTTCAAGATTCTGTTCACTTTGAAAGACATTAGAAGACAGGTCTCTGGAAGAGAAAAATATTTTGCAGCAAATAAAATTATTGCAACAACTGTGTATATTAACAATAAAAGAAATGGAAATGAAAATGGCAAACAGAAGAATTTTGAGTTAGCAAATAAGCTGAGAAAATGGCTAGTTTATAAATTAAGAAAAGAAAGTGAAGAAAAAAATGATATTAAAATTACAAATTGGAAAAACCATGTTATCAGATAATGCAAGTAATCAAAGAATATTTCATCAATATTATACAAAATGGTAGAAAGGAGAAGAAATTTCCCCAGCAGAACTGGGAGGGATATTTAAAGAAACAAAATTAACCAAAGGAAATGGATAAACAAAAAGAGATGGTGAATGGACCCATAACAATAAGGGAAGCTGTCAGTATATAAAAAAGATTAAAATAGGGGAAGTGTCTGGATCACACGGCCTCCCAGCTTCATATTATAAACATTGTGATGATGAACTGTTTTAACCTTTAAAAAAAATTTTTTTCTTTTAAAGAAAAATTAAAAAAACAGAATAAGGGGAAAGGAAATATATGAAAAACTAAGAAAAATGAATATAGGAAAAAGGATATTATGATTTAATCCTAAAGAGAAAGGTAAGATTATTTGTTTGTATGTATCTGCTGTGAGAAAGACTACAAGTCATTTTTCTTTTCTTGTTTCTACCTATATATCTGTCTTAGCTTCTCACTTAATTCCTTTTTCTTTTCTTTAATTTTTTTTAAATTTCACTTTATAATATCTCTTATTCTTGTGAAAATTCTTAATAGAACTATGATGTAAGAAAAGAAAATTCTAAGTTCATCTGGAAATTTGATGAAACAATTGCATTGGAATGACTTGCATTGGAGGGCCTGCATACGATGTGAAGAAAATGAACTAGTGTTTAGGAAACAGGGTTGTTTTTCCCACCCCCCCCCCCCTTATTCTTTCCTACAAGCTTTGTGATCTTCGCTCTTCCCTACAACTTGTTCAGGAGAATCTTCCAACTCTGCAGACCAAAGGCTAAAGTATACAGGGGCAATAGAAAGGGAAATCGCTCCCATTCTTCAGGTTGAACCTATTCTACTGAAAATATACATTTTAGTAGCCAATATGAAGTGGTCAATAGAGAGCCAGATTGGACTAATGGCTCTAAGGCTACAGGCCAGAAAGTGGGAGACTGTGAGTTCCAGTCTGGCCTTAGCCATGAAAGCCAGCTGAATGACCTTGAGCCAGCTACTTTCTCTCAACCTAACTCACCTTACAGGATTGTTGTTCTGGGGAAAATAGGAGAAGGAAGGTTTGTTGGATATAATAATAACAAGAAGAAGGAGGAGGAGGAGGAGGAGGAGGAGGAGGAGGAGGAGGAGGAAGGGACCTTGGAGGCCATCTAGTCCAACCCCCTGCTCAGGCAGGAAACCCTATACCATTTCAGACAAATGGCTGTCCAGTCTCTTCTTAAAAACTTCCAGTGTTGGAGCATTCACAGCTTCTGGAGGCAGGTTGTTCCATTGATGAATTGTTCTAACTGTCAGAAAATTTCTCCTTAGTTCTAGGTTGCTTCTCTCTTTGGTTAGTCCGTTGCCTTGAGTTTGCTGCCTTGAGTTATTTGTAAAAATAATAAAGGCAGGATAGAAATAAATATTAACAAAGTTGCTCTAATCAGAAAAAAACCCCAAGGGGGGCATATAGTGCACAAAGGATAAAGAACAGTAATCTTTATGTAAGCCATGGGGAATTGCACTCACAAAAACCAATAAATTTGTATGATGAAATATATTATGAGATTTTCCCCTCAATGTGCTTTTCATGGTGAGGAAATTCAAATTGCTTCTGTCTAGAAGGCATGGTTCTTATACCCGTCACTTTAAACCAAACAAGAAATCTCACAATACCTAAAGACTCAAGGACCTGGGGACAGCCTTAATTTCTGTGCACATAGCTAAGGAAAATTGAAATTCCTGCAAGTGATATAGAGTACATTATTTTTTCAGATAATTTGCTTGAAAAGAAAACATCACCAGCACTAAAGCCATGAAAAGAGAAAATCAGGCATCCTCTCTCTCTGCTTGATTCAAAGGGTTAAAGTCACACCAGGTTCCTGAAAACAGCTACTTCCAAGCCAGCATCTGGCTACTGCTGCGGTTAGTGGGAAGGATTTTCTTTTTAATAGCATTATAAATAGGGCTGTGTTCAACATCCTGCAGACTTACTTTCTCTTTCATTCAAGCTTCTCCCTCCTCCTGCACATCTACCACAGCTCTATAGACATGGACCCATCAAACTTCTTGCTCAAATTCACCGCCTTGCTTATATGTCTTCTTCCTGTTCTTCAGGCCTGTCCTCAGAACTGTCACTGTCATGGAGGAGACCTTCACCATGTCATTTGTGACAATGTTGGATTGAGAAGGATTCCCAAAGTGGCTGAGCAGACCCGGCTTCTCAATCTGCAGAGGAACAGTTTCCCTGTGCTGCCAACCAATGGTTTCAGAGAGATGAAAAATCTTGTATCTCTTCACCTCCAACATTCCCACATCAAAGAAATCTCCAGTGGAGCTTTCCGGGGCCTGAAGCAGCTGGTCTACCTTTACTTGTCAAATAATGACATCAGTACCATAAAGATGGGAGCCTTTGATGACCTGATAGAACTTACTTACCTCTACCTAGATCATAACAAGATATCTGACCTGCCCAAGGGACTCCTCTCTCCACTGATTAATCTTTTCATCCTGCAGCTAGGTAACAACAGGCTCAGAGAGCTGAGATCAGGAGCCTTCCATGGTACTAAGAACCTTCGCTGGCTCTATCTCTCTAATAACTCCATCTCCTCCATCCAACCTGGGGCCTTGGAGGAGGTGGAAAACCTAGCCATATTCCACTTGGATAAGAACCAGCTGAGCAGCTACCCGGTGGCTGCGATGAGCAAATTAAGGGTGGTGGAAGACCTGAAGCTCTCACACAACCCAATAAAGTTCATTCCGGATTTAGCCTTCCAATCTTTTGGAAGGTACATGGAGACTCTCAGCTTGGACAACATGGGATTAGAAAAGGTAAGAATTTCTCAGAGCTTTCTGTCTTCTTTTGTATAAATGTATACATTTGTCTATTTGTCAAATCCTGTCATTTGTCAGCATAACCAAGAAATAGGGGATGAATTCTATACAGGCAGGGACAGATTCAGTCCATACCTCAAAGGGAAACTCTCAAGCACAACCTTTTGTTTTCTCTAACAGGAATGAATGAATTATTCTGAGTTCTTCCTTATAATCCAATTTGGGGATTGGGCGGTGGGGGGGGGAGGAAATAGAATACTACAATTAGGGAAAACATTGCAGGAGAATTAAAACGTTACCTTTAAGTTATATAGGGTTCTAAAAATGGATCTATCAGTGGTGCAAAATATATAGCTCTCAATCAAAGGGTCTTTCAACACAGAAGTTAAACTACAAAGAAAGGAATGCCCCATTTCCTCCCCCCACCAGACAGTCTGTGTCTGCCTTGAAATAGTTCTTTACTTGTCCTCAGAAACTGGAGACATCTTCTGATGGGCAAAGAGAATGGGACCAAATTGGACCATTATGCCTGGTCACAATTATGGTGAGGAGACCCAGAAGAATGGAACTGAGGAAAAGGAGAAAACCCCTGCTTCTTTCTTTTCCATTCACCCTTGGTATTGTAGTATCAGAGCTGAAAGACTAAGGGACCATCACTTTTCAATAACGCAGTCTCTGCTGGTTTTAAAGAGGAAAGGTGAAAGCAAAAGGATAGAAGACCTTAAATCGTATTTCCCAGCCTTGGCCACTTTAAGATGTTGTGAACGTTAACTCCCAAAATTCCCCAGCCAGCATGTCTGCAAACAGTAATCAGATAACAGTATGAAGGCGAAACTAAAAGAAATGTTTTTCTGGAGCAAAAGGCTACAGTTACACAGGTATTACTTGTCCATTTAATAAGATGTACACAAAACCATTAGTCTCTGTCAGAGAAAAGTGCTTATAATTAGCAAACTGGGAGTCAAGTACTGCTGGATTATGTAGCTTTTTATTCAATAAAAGTGGTTCTCCATATTTAGATTCTGAGAAATTAAATTAACCTGGGCAGGAAAAAAACAGCAAACACACATTCTCTGTCTTGCATTGTGCTTGTTCGCTTGTTTACTGTATTTATTTTACTTATCAAATTTATATTACCACCTATCTCGGTCATCAACTTACACATTTTTTCTTTCATTACAAGAGAAGCTAAACAAATTGTTTTGCTGTCCTTCACTTTCACAACTTTATACTTTCCTCCATACCTGCTACTCATTTCATCTCCTCTTTTCCTTGCTGTCTTTATCTCCTCTATGAAATATTGTTTGTGAGCATTCATCCATCAGTCTTGTTTTATATAGTAGCTGGCATACTGCTGACTTAAATAAAGGAAATAATTATAACCTAGTTTTCTTTTCTTGAAACAAATTACACACACACAAACACACACACAAATGGACCGAGTTTACATTTTATGCTACATATGATTTGCTTAACTGTAATAAGCAAATGTTTTATTACAGTTTTAGATGAGATTTAATCATGATTTATTAGTTAAGGGCTCTTCCTCACATCCCTAAAACTGGTGTATGAATATACCTAATAACTTTCCTGCAATGTCCTCATGAGCTTAAATCTTATTAGCAAGTAATAAATATAGTACTGTATCTAGAAATAGAATCTGATATTTTTTATCTTTTTCTCCTTAATGCTGTTCCATTTATTCCTTGCTTTCTTTCTTATACTTCATATAAGAACATGTGCATATGTGTATACATGCATGTATATGGTATGCATAAAAATAGATGTAGAAAATGTTTGTGTATGTATGTATGTACAGGTATGTATGTATGTATGTATGTATGTATGTATGTATGTATGTATGTAAAACTAGCATTACCCAGCTGACAAAGCCCAGCTGTCTTTCCCAGTTTAAATTGGCCATAAGCCTAGTGTTCTTGCCTTCAAAAGATGAAGGCAACACCACCAGAATTAGGCTCATGCTGCAGTTAGGGTGAGATTACATTACATTACAATACACACACACACTTGTATTGAGAGAGAAAAGAGGGAGGGAGGGAGGGAGGGAGGGAGGGAGGGAGGAAGGAAGGAAGGAAGGAAGGAAGGAAGGAAGGAAGGAAGGAAGGAAGGAAGGAAGGAAGGAAGGAAGGAAAAGTTGTCAGGAGAATAGAATAGAATAGAATAGAATAGAATAGAATAGAATAGAATGGGAGGGGAGGGGAGGGGAGGGGAGGGGAGGGAAGGGAAGGGAAGGGAAGGGAAGGGAAGGGAAGGGAAGGGAAGAGAAGAGAAGAGAAGAGAAGAGAAGAGAAGAGAAGAGAAGAGAAGAGAAGAGAAGAGAAGAGAAGAGAAGAGAGCTGGCAGGGACCTTGGAGACCTTCTAGTCCAGCCACCTGCTCAAGCAGGAGAACCTATACCGTCTCAGACAAGTGACTGTCTAGCCTCTTTTTAAAAATCTCCAGTGATGGAGCGCCCACGAATCCTGGGGGTAAGCTATTCCACTGGTTAATTGTCCTCACTGTCAGGTTGCTTCTCTCTTTGATCAGTTTCCAACCATTGTTTCTCTTCCTTCCCTCTGGTGCTTTGGTGAATAACGTGACCCCCTCTTCTTTGTGGCAGCCCCTCAGATACTGGAATACTGTCTCCCCTATTTCTTCTTTTCTTTAGACTAGCCAGACCCAAGTCCTGCAGCCGTTCTTCATATGTTTTAGTCTCCAGGCCTTTGGTCATCTTAGTTGCTCGTCTCTGAATTTTTTTCCAAACTCTCAACATCTTTTTTGTGATATGGTGACCAAAATTGGCTGCAGTATTCCAGGTGTGGTCTTACTAGGGTTTTATAAAGCAGTACTAATACCTCATGTGATCTTGATTCTATGCCTCTGTTTATACAACCCAGGATTGTATTAGTTTTTTTGGCTCCTGCTGCACACTGCTGTGCAGAGAGTTAAACTCTGTTCTTAAAATACTGGGTTGATCACTTGTTGGTAAAATGTAGTGACTTTCAAAAAGAGGTGGGTGATAGTACAGCCGGGAGAACACTGGACACAGGTAAACTGAGCACACGCAAGGATGTACCTCTTTTTTTCTCCTCCCCAATCTTATACTTTATTAAGAAGGATTTGTTTATTGATCATCCCTCAAAGAAAACCTCACAGCACGTCACAAAGAAGTCCTTTCTCTCTGGAAAGTTAGAGGGATGTTCAAGTAAGCAACAAAATATTCCCCGTCTCCTTAATGAATGAATCATGTCCCTCGTGCAAAACCATGATATATGAGAATCTGGTTGTAAATAGGAAATGGAATGACCTCATGTTGGCTATACCATGTCCCTAATGGATCAAGAAACCACATTAAAGAGAAGCAGCAGGGTGGAAGCCTTCCAGGTGAACAAGAAGTACTATTTCCAGCAGCTTTAGGGCCATGCTGAAGTTGTCCAAGTGCATTAAACCAGCAAAACAATCATCCCCCAGAAGCTCAATGAATGGATAACACAAAGTGAAGGCAGAATGAAAAGCTTAGTAAATTAAAATGCTAAGAAGCAAAATAAAGTACAGACATACAGTAGGATGATAGATTTTAAAGCTGGTAGCTAGAAAGTGGAGGGAACTTGAATGGGAAGAAGAATTCGTTCATGGCCAAAATAAGAGATTTTTTGATGATAGCATAGATCTTTCTTAATTTACAAAATCTTAAAAACTTGCTCACAATTCTGTGCATTTTGGAAGACTGTGTGGGAATTTTGGGATAGAATTAATGAGAATCTGAATATAATCATAAAAAAGGTCTCACATAACAGATATATATGAAACAATAAAGCATTTCCAAAAGACTTCTGTGGAAAAAGGCATTATGCACAATAAAACAAAGAAAATGAAACAAAAGTATTATTCTAAACAAAAAGATATTCAAGAATGAAGAAATGTGCATTGCATGAATGACTTCTTGCAATGCAGAATCATTGATCACATTTTGATCAATGCAGAATCATTGATCACATTTTGTTATTTAACAACCATATAGATTTTCAGCTTTTTTTTTAAAGGCACAAAAGAAATCCACATAGGCGCTGTCCACAACATAATAAGCACTTTGCCTTTTTCAGTATCAATCATTATGATTTCCCTCTTTGTCTTAAATGAATGAGACACAAAAGCAGCCCAACGGAAAGCAAAAGTTATCTTAGTGACATTATGACCACTGAGTTGCAATATGAAGTTGCAATTCACAGGTATTTTATTGTTTCATTTCCCAATATGGTGATTTCAACAAGATCCCAACAAAGTAAGTACACTGGACACATTCCAAGCTCTAATGCAAAACTTTATTGTGCATATCATACCGGCACTAACAAGTCGAAAAACAGCTCTGGCACTTTGGCACGAGAAAAATAAATTAAAAGTATAAAAATTCCCTTCCCCCTGACAGTGCAAGTCATACTCTCCAATTAAGCACAAGATAATTGTTATGAGAATCCTTTCTTTCCTAGCAACAATCTTAAATAGCCTTTCTTCCCAGATTAAGCTATTCCACATACATTCCAATGATTCCCCCTTCCCACTTGTGACTATTGGCAAGATACAAGGTAACAATGGCTGAAACAAAATAAGAATTTTTGAAGCTTGACAGCTACATCCTATTCTTCTACCTGTAAAAGCATGTTATTATTGTTTCCTCCACCTGATCTTATTCTACAGTAGTTACAGAATAACAGAACTGGAAGGGATCTTGGAGGTCCTACTCCAACCCTCTGCTCAAGCAGGAGACACTATATCATTATGGACAAATGGTTAAACTTCTGGATTTTTTTAGTACCAGCCACCTATGATCACATTATCCTAGAAACCACTAAGTATGTTGGAAGTTTCTAAGATATGGTATCTTCCATGCTACTACAGTAGGATGAAAAGCCTGTTTGGTCTAGTGCAGGGGTGTCAAACTGCCAGCCCGCGGATCGGATGTGTCATGCCGAAACCATGCCCACCTTGTTGCCGGCAATGGAGAAAAAAATCACGATATGCCGTGACACGTCATGTGATGTTGCGAGTTTGACACCCCTGGTCTAGTGGCTAAGAAAGTAAGAGACCATGAGTTCAAATCCTGCCTTGGCTATGAAAGCCAGTTGCATGATTTTGGGCCAGTCGCTCTTTCTAAGCACAAGTCACCTCACATGGTTCTTGTTATCAGGAAAATAGGAGGAAGGTATCTTAAGTATGTTCGTCGTCTTAAGTTATTTGTAAATATAATAAAAGTGGGATATAAACAAATAAAGCAAGCCAGAGGCAAGATATCCGTGCTCTTGTGGTAATGTAAAAAAACAACTCCTTCCTCTTAGATTTTCCTGCAGGATTAATCTTCAAACTTACATGCTTATTCTGCTTTGGCTTAGAAAGTATATATACTTTTCCAGGACAAACTGATAGCACTAAGATAAACTTCACAAGTACCTATTTCTCACAGCAAATTTTTGATCACTAAGTATGTCTTCTCAATGCATATAGTCAGTAGCTAGCTGAATTTTCTTTTAACATGTAAGCATTTTACAAGTGGATGACAGACTTAATGAAAAAGAATTGTTTTACTCACTTAAAACAATTATTAAAGGCTTTAAGTGATATGTTTTATGCATAACATGGAAAGAATTCTGCAGCACAACGAATTAGCCTGCATCAGCCCCAAGGCAATAGTCAAGCTAGAAAGTTTTCTTTAATTATTAATTCTATTGCCAATACATTACTGTTGACAGATTTTAGCAAGTATGGTTAGGATCTTGTGCAAAATAATATAAATTATTTATATGTATTTAATATTTATATGTATTTATATGTAAGGGTGTAGGTATATATAGTACATACGCTGTATATAGTAGGTTTATATGTGTGTTATGTATGTGTACACTTTTGAGAGCAGGCAACAGAATTTCATTTTTAATGTGAGCCAGTGTGCCCACAGTAAAAAATGACAATAAAGGTTATCTTATCTCTTATCTAAAATGATTAATCCATTCTACCAAGAAGTTCCTTAGCAGGGATTTACTATCATATTCCACATCTTTGATATATTTTGTTCTAATGAAGTAGAATATTATCAAAAGAGATTTGTGAAGCTATCCAATACACACAGTAATATTCCAAGTAGAAGACATTGGTTCTCACTTTAAATCATAGTTTCAAGTGGGCTTTTTTCCCAAACAAATCATAAATTATGGTCATCGTAATTTTAAGAATTGGGTGAAAATGACTAATTGTGACTATGGAAAAGTAGAATCAAAATCGTCTCTTGGTCACAATTATGATACATAACACAAGGAATTCAGTTCCAGGAGAGTGAATACACAACATAAATACACAGTGGTAGCCTGCTACATACAAGCCCCTGCAGTTTTCTTGGCAAGGTTTTTCAGAAGTGGTTTGCCATTGCCTCCTTCCTAAAGCTGAGAGAGTGACTAGCTCAAGATCCAGCTGGCTTTGTGTCCAAGGTGGGGCTAGAACTCAGTCTCCTTGTTTCCAGCCTGATGTCTTAACTACTACATAAAACTAGTTCTGAGTTTCTATTTCTGTAGCAAAGAGTGAAAATGATCTACCAAGAATCTGCACTAGGTTTAATTTGCTTTGTGTGTAGAGCCAACTAAATCAGGTCTCATCCTCCCCAGTTCTTGTCTGCAAAAATTAGAAAATTGGATTTATCTCTTACCTTTTAGCTGTACTATAATCTTATATCTTTTAATTTGGAATAACCCTTTTTCAATTTTTTTCTCAATATATTTCTGGGATTTCTGAGAGATCTGTGACAAGCTAATTCCATCTTACATTTTTTCTATATATTTTAATGTTTTTGTTTATTTTAACCAAACTGCTATTTCATAATTTGGGCAGTTCTGTAATTCATCTTCTACAATATTGAGTTTATGCATTTTAACATTAAAAAAATTAAAATGAGTTAATTTTATCTTTTCTTTTAAAAAATAAATCTTGATTTTATTGTGTGATTGGATTATCACCCAAGAAAAGAGTGAATACTCTGAATAGACATACCTCTATAACACTAGGAAGCAGCTTTATAAAAATATTTTCAAATTTTGTATATTGAGCTTCTTAACTGCCAGAAAGATAGCATAGGTTGCCTGCTCCCTGTCTCTTCCACAGCTTAAAGTTAAGGATGGATGCCCAGTGAGGCAACCCCATGAAAGACGGGTGATGGCTGTAAGAATAGGAAGCAAGAGTTTGAAATCTCCTATGAACCCAGTCATTTTCTACTTACGCAAAGGAGTCAGAATTACAGCATTTTTGCCTCTGAAATGCAAAATGAAGATTTACAGATTAAAATATAACTGTTTAAAGGATCAAACGATCTTCAATTGGCTAAAAAGTTTAGATAACTGCTCTCACATCTGTCATGAAAAAAGATGCTACCAACAATTAAAATAGAATCTGCTGGGATTCATTCAGTGATGGTTCACAGATAAATTTCAGGAAGTAGGTACAATTGGAAATTCCTTAATGTTCATTATTCAGCTGTTACAGCAAAGCAGTATTTTGAATAATTTGATTTTGATAATGCTACCAGATTAGAAGAGATGAATATTTTATTGTTAAAGTGCTGGAATGGGAGAAGAGCTCCCTGATATTCAGATGTTAAAAAGATGTGTGATTTGAAAAATGGGATGGGAACTTAGAGGATTTTCTGGAATATTTAGCTGTTTTTTGATCAAAAGTGCAACTATTCTGTCATTCCTCCTTGATCAGACTTTTTGTGAAAACATAAAAAAGGACTGAAGCAGCAGTGGGAAAACACAAGGGACACACATGGAAGATTATGAGGTTTATAGTCTGCTAATCCTTGATAAATTTCCATATATGAAGTAAGAAGATTATAAGACAAAAAAAAACCATTCTGGTAGAACCTTTGTGTATATTTTATTTTCCTGAAAAAACATCAAGTGGGCAGAATAAAAGTATTATGGAAGTCATAATCAATAAATTTATATCTATATAAATGACTTCCAAGAGAGTGTGTGCTATGTTTATAACAATTATTGCAAACTAAATAAATACTGAGAGATAGGCTTAGCAGAAAAAGAGTAGGAATAGCTGTCTTAAGTCCCTTATTTTTGCCATCCTAATTCCACAGGAGAACTAAATTTTTGAAGCCAAGACTTTAGGATGTAAACATTTTGATTCTTCAGCATTAATGAATAACCAGTGAGGACCAAGAAACAGGGGAGAGGAATCTGAGCATCTGGAAATTTGCCTTGCTGCTTCTACATGAATGCCAAGTGTAACTTTCCATTGGGAGTTCACTGGATTCTGACCAAGTCTGCAATCCTTTTGAGTCTCCACAAATATTCTTCTCTACATATATGGCAACTGGATGCCAGAAAGGATTTCAGTTCTAGAAGCCAAAAAACCTTTTTGCTGGTTTAGGATGAAGCAATGTCTAAAAAGAAATGGGAGAAGTTGAAGAACACCTTTTCTTTAAAACAGTAAAGGGCACACAACCAAAGAAAAGTATTTAGCATACCGACAAGTTTTAACCTTTCAACAAATTCCCACCCATGTTGTTTCTTTTTTACCACAGTGGAGAACATCTCATACAACTTAATATTATGGTGTTTCTAAGAGATATTATCTTCAAACAAATGGAAATGTGAACCATTTCATATGTTAGGCAGGTGACTATCAGGACCTGTTATTGTTCCTTGGCATATATGAATTTTTTCATATATTTATAGTATATCCCATGAGGTAGGCTTGCATCAAGGAACGTGTTGTGTGAAGTAGCAGAAAATGGAAAGAGTGTTCCATTCGATCTCGTCTCCTGACTCCCATCCCCTAAAACGTTATGAAATATTTTTACAACAACTGGACTTTGGGCTTTGGTTTTGCCTTGCCTCCCTTTAATTTTTAAAATTTTGGATCACTACCCAAAATTGTTTGTTAGAGAATAAGCATGATTTTAACTTATTTACTGTTATTACTACCTGCTCCTCTGCTTCAGTTTTCAGATAAAGCATTTGTTGGAATAACCGCACTGAAGAATGTTCATATAGAGCACAACAAAATTTCCAGTCTACCTAGGAGTTTTCCATTCCCCCGTCTTGAGACACTCTCCCTGTCCAATAACCCTTGGCATTGTTCTTGTCAATTAGCACCTTTGCGCAGGTAAGAGTATTGATCCCACCCAACTTGCTAATTCCTCAAAAGTATTTTGGGGAGGGGAGAAAGGAATGATAGTAGTTAATGAATTAATAAAGGACATGAAGGGTCACACTGAAAATCTGTTTAACCATGTTCTCCTGGGTGATTCTGAGGATTTTTTTTTTTCGTTTAGGTGGCTGGGATCTACCCGTACTCGCCCAGATGCAGTCTGTGCATCACCTCCTCAGACTCGAGGACAGCAGATTCGAGACACTTCTGCGCTCCGTAGCTGCAAACTTCCCTCTAAGAGATCCAAAAAAGGAAATCGCCATTAAGCAGGCAATTCAGTTTTTTTCCAGAATTTTCAGTTAAATACCTGTCAACCCTTAGAGGTGGTCTAGACAAGAAGTGCCAACCATGACTAACACTATCTTATTGTAAGGTTACAATAAGATCTTACAAATTTTGCAAGTATGAAGGTACATTTCTCCCCCCTCATCTTTACAGTCCATGAAACTAGGGAGGGTCCTTTCTGAGACATATATATGGTACTGTGCCCCATTTCTTCTGTGAGCTAAGCTGCCTTTTATCTGACCGTTACCCAATCTCCTCCTCTTCCTCCTCCCCCTCTTTCTTTTTCTCCTGTCACTCAAAAACATTCTCACAGATCATTACAATAACTCACCCTGTTTAGAACGCCAATGTAATTTTTAAGTTAGTGTGAATTGACCTGATTTGTCTCCAAAACAAAGCAACAGTTGAAAAAACAGAAGAATTCTTTCTGAATACTTCTGAGTAAACCCCAATACTTTAATGTGTGGTATGAAAATTAGCTTACCTCAATTCTTGACCTCTTAGGAATTGTGAGCATAGAATACTATAATCAGTGAAAGACTGAAGGCAAAACTTGCTCCTATCATGAAGCAAGGAACTTTCTTTGGCCTCAGTTTTTCTTCATCTACGGTATTAATGAATTATTTCCCTGGATTATTTAGAAAGGTTAAAGATTATATAAAGAATGTGAACTCCCTTGAACCACTGAAGGCACTAAACTATTTTCGTTGTTGTTTCTCTTGCTTAGAAGATCTCTTTTTCCCATGAACAGGATCCAGAAAAGTAAGTCCAGGTAACTCTTCACTTCAACCAACCAACCAACCAACCAACCAACTAGAAAAGTACTGATGCCTTCCAAGTCTTTCATCCTAAACAACTCCTTTCTATCAGAAACAACAAATCTGAAACATATCTATATCCTGCTACAGGCATATTTCAGTTCCTCCCTCCCCCCCATATTATAAATATTATTTTAAATGATACTTTTAGAAACATAAACCTATGTATGACAAAGCTACAACAAACCAAATGAGATCTTGCCTGTATAATACAGTCATTTTTCTTGCTGTCATTCAGCCAGCCATTTGATCTCCAGGATTTGCTGTCCAACAATCAAGAAATGAACAGAAAGCATAAAAAAGTTCCCTGCATGTTAGAACATGTTAGTATTCTAACTGAAAGAATTGCATTAGTTTATTTTACTTTATTCATAGAGATTGTCAACATGGATAAGCAATGAGAGTGTGCTAGATGAAATAAATGGTGTATAAGGTATTTACAGAAGCATGTTATGTAGAATATATAATTGAAAAGTTAGATCTCTGAGCTCAGGAAAGCCTAGAACAGGGCTTTTCAACCAGTGGTACAGTTACCACCTGTGGAACATTGACATCTGACAGGTGGTACGCGGCCATCCTAGAAAAGTGGTAGCGGGGGAGGGGAATGAGCTGAACCGGTGGCAGCACCGCACAAGCCTGAGCGAGAGATGGCTGGAGCTGCAGGGCTATCAGGGCTCAGTGGAAGTGCCAGGATCAGTGACAGGCTCCAGTTGGAGCTCAGCGCTGATCCTGGTGCTTCTGCTGAGCCCTGAAGAAGCACCAATCAGCTGAAAGCAGCACTGATCCTGGCCTTTCTGCTGAGTGAGCCCAGAAGAAGTGCCGATCAGCTGGAATGTTGCAGCATCTCCAGGGTCTTGTGATTTACATTCAGATGCTTGGCACTTGATTCATATTTATGATGGCCACAGTGTCCCAGGGTCATGTGAAGTGACCAAAACCTGCTGCAACCACCCAGCAGACGGGGGGAATAAAAACCAAACACCTGCCCACCCCCACCCCCACTGCCAATCCTCAACAGAAATGCTCACAACAATGAAAACCTCGGACAGAAGGAAGAGCGCCGCCGGGCATGCAGGCAGGTGTCTTGCTCGGCTGTGCCTTGGGGGGCACTTTTTTCAGTGCCATTGTAACTTCGAACAGTCACTAAGTGAACTGTTGTAAGTAGAGGACTACCTGTACTTTATCACTTTTTTCCTTTTTTAGTCATCAAGTTTTTGACACCTTGCTAGGCGACTGGTGGTACTCGGACGTTACCATATCCTAAAAGTGGTACAATGGGTGAAAAGGTTGAAAAGCCCTGCTCTAGGAGACTGTTTCTCAACCTCCACCACTTTTAAGATATGTGGTCTTTAGCTCCCAGAATTTCCTAGTCCAAGGCTTTTCAACCAGTGGTATGGGTACCACCTGGGGTACATTGGCACCTGGCAGATGGTACACGACCATCCTAGAAAAGTGGTAGCGGGGGAGTGGAATGAGCTGAACTGGTGGCAGCACTGCACAAGCCTGAGTGAGAGACGGCTGGAGCTGCAGGGCTGTCAGGGCTCTGCTGAAGCGCCAGGATTAGCACTTCTTCGGGGCTGTCAGGGCTCAGTGGAAGCACCAGGATCAGTGCCAGGCTCCAGCTGGGCCCAGAAGCACCGATCAGCTGGAATGTTGCAGCATCTCCAGGGTCTTGTGATTTACATTCAGATGCTTGGCAACTGATTCATATTTATGACGGTCGTGGGAAGTGACCAAAACTTGCTGCAACCACCCAGCAGATGGGGAGAATAAAAACCAAACACACCCCACCCCACCCCCGCTGCCAATCCTCAACAGAAATGTTCACAATGAAAACCTCAGATGGGAGGAAGAGCACCATTGTAACTTCAAACAGTCACTAAGCAAACTGTTGTAAATTGAGGACTACCTGTACTTCATCACTTTTCCCTTTTTGGGGGGGGGGTCATCAAGTTTTTGACACCTTGCTAGGCGACTGGTGGTACTCGGATATTGCCATATCCTAAAACTGGCACAATGGGTGAAAAGGTTGAAAAGCCCTGGCCTAGAAATTGTATTTTGAGGGTGAAAGGGTGAGAAAAGAAGAACACTAGGGAATTCTCAATTTGCTTAGCAAATTATAGAAGCTAAAACTCAGGCTTTAAAAGCATAGCTTTTTTCTTTTCCCCAGATCAGTTTTAAACAGAATTTGCTTGAGACCATGAGGACCTGCATAGTGGCTCTGGTCTTTGCAGTGATCTTGTCTTCAATAATTTCACAGCTCGTTTCATTTCTAGGGTATTTGGATACCAGATGAATTATTTATCAAATTCTTAGTTAATTAAGAGATGATATCCTTATTTTTTTGTTGTCTTCCATTTGTAACCCTTCTGTGTTTTCTCATTATGTCTTCTATATTTTTGCAACCCAAACTTTTAAACAAAGAAATATAAGGAGCAGCAATGCCTTTCTACTAGAAGCTATTTGTCTGGAAGCAAATTAAGAGAATTCTCCTAGGATAACAGGAATAATTTTTTAATTCTTCAAATTATTTAAAAAAACTGATAGAAAAAATAAGAATAAATGAATTTTAATTAATAGTGCTAGGCAGTGCCTTACATGTTTTGATTGGCAGTATATGTAACAAAATAGTTATACGTTATAGATTGGCTAACAAAATTAGATTTGTATTTCAAATCCATCCTCTATGTTATAAGAACTATGTTATAAGAACTATGACAAGTTTTTGACCTGATAAACTTAAGTAACATATGCTGTATTATTCTTAAGGTTCAGCTCATTGAATAGAGTATTTTTCCACTTGAGGAAGTTAAATGATGGCTCTGTATTTTTTAAAGAGAAAAGATGTATGATCTGTTCATAAAAAAGAGGAAGTTGGTGATTTACAATAGAAGAATCAAACTGAATAAAAGAGAATCAGGATATCTTATGGAATCAAAAACCTAAAAATGAAATTAGATTTGTAATGCTACTGGTACTTATGATGAGAAAGTCCTATTAAGTGAAATGAGATTTAATTTCAATTTAATTCCAGTATACAGAGAAAACTGACTGCACAAGGATGTATTCCCCCTCCCAAATTTAAAAAAAAAAACCCTGTGAATAAGGCATCTTTAATTAAAAAAAAATTACAAATGATATAACAGGCTGTCTTTCAAGACAACTTGACCTTCGCTCACTCTTCCTGTATTATTTAGTTAGCTACAGATTTAGAAGATAGTTGGGCAATGCAAAATCTGATATATTAGCCAGTACCCTTTCTGCACCCACATAGGGTTTTCAGCCCATTTATAAAGGGTATTTTAATAGGCTGATGCAGAGAAGACTTTTCCTTTAAAGTAGGAAATTTGAAAAATGGAATGGAAGAGAACAGAGACATGCCAAAAAATGATAACTTCACTTTGTTTATCTCAGAAATATTGTTATAGTTGGCAAGATGACTGTGATTTATCATCAAGCATTTTACAATACTACCATTTCAGTTTAATTGCATTTGTAATCCTAGCGTTTCATAAAAATATATATTTATTCATTACTGAATGTAAATGACACTTAAGGGGATTTTTATCCTCTTACTCCTATGTAGAAAGCAAATTATATATTTTCTTATGTACAATTTCTGTATAAAGCTTTTGCTGCAAAGAGAAAGTGATCAAGTTTTCATGCAGTGTATTTTTCTTCTGCAAGATAAATTATCTGCTAATTCTGACAACAAAGATTACTATATTCCTGATCTCCATATTTATAGTATTTCCCAATTTTATAAAGCTATTCTGGTAGAGAAGTATAAATACTATCAAGCAAAATCTATATATATATTTGTTTCTCTTATTTAGCAGACAGAGAAAAATATCTGGTCATCAGATAACTGAAATTTAGAGTCTCTAATACTTGTCTACTAGTCAAAAGAGATTCACTTGCATTTATATTGCCAAATCATATTCAAGACCTTAATCCTTAATCAAAATTTCACATTATTAATTGTACTGAAATGTGAGTCAACGTGGATTTTATAAACAAATCCTCTTTATTGTTCATCTGAGAAAAAAATATGTATACACTGTATTACAATCCATGACCTTAATGACAAAGAAGGAAGGCTTAATATATATATATAAGCAAGAGAAGATAAATGCCAATACGTTGGCTGGTTACACACCACTAACAAAGATCCTAGCAAAGTCCCCTTTCTTCCTTATATAGAGAAGACAGCATCTCATCACTTCCCATTTTTTCTCAAGGCTTGGTCCCTCTACTTTCAATACAATAGTAAAGTTTCTAGCCATTTGGAGAAAGTAAGAGCAACTCTTTCTTGCCAAAAAGAGAGGCAGACAGAAATTAGAGGACTTTTCCAAATGTAGCCCCATCCCATCCCATAAGCCCAGAGATTCTAAAAAGCCTCCACTCCTATGATCATTAGCAAAGAAATGAAAAATTCAAAGGAAACACATTGATTGGGGTTATAATCAGCACTTACCAAATTATGAACAGTCCTAGCCTTAGTTGAGAGAAAGTGGGAAGCAAAGTAAGCGTCAAAGGAAGCCGTGGTGCTTGCCCATCCAGTGATCTACAGTAGGTCCCTGTAGCTACATACAGATGTTTCTTTCCTCTAGAATCCTGCTACACTTTCTGTTTCCAGTTTAGCTGTACCACTGATTATATTTAATAGTTTAAAAAGCTAATAAAAAACATTTATAGAGAAAGATAGTAAAGATGGTGGGAGATATTTAAAGGGATGGTTTGCTTCAATGAAAGCACCAGCAAACTATGTCCCGCCTTCCCAAAATGCTTTATGAAGCAATGGTGCCCCCTGGCCTTCAAGAACAAAGCAAAGCAGCCATCTGTCTCAATTTGGAAAACTTCAAGGAGTTCTCTACATATACTGTATGAGCAGAAGCGTGGAAGCTTTTTCTGGCTTTTGCAGTTATCCCTAGAGGCAGGGAATGTGACTTTGTCAAAGCAAATCATGTTATCTCTTCATCTTGACACGCAGCATCCACAGTGCAACGCTTTTTGTGAGGTCAAACCCAACACCCTGCGCTCATCTACAATACGTGCAGAAGGAAATGACGCAATTCAGGAATAGAAAAAAAATGACTCACTACTATATCTTGTATATTCATTTTCTGGATAATCTTCTTCATGATTTCAGGAGGCACAGTTGAACCCCCAATAGCCCCTGGAAGAAGAAAAAAAGGCAGAAACGTCTTCAAAGAATATTCTAAAATTATTGCAGATTTTAAAATACAAACATTCTTTATAGTCTCCATAGTATCCCTAATACAATATTTCCCATTAGAGTTGAAATTTTAGCAAGCCAAATTACATATACAATACAAAGTAAGCAGACTCAGCTTATCTGAAGGTATCCACTTAGACTCCCATGTAAGATTTGTATTTGCAAAGATGTGCTTTGAGGTATTTCCATGCATGTAAATTCCTGTGGATACAGAATGTAAGTGCAACCAATGCCTAGCATCTACTGCCACACACTGGTGAATAGAAAAATAAATACAGTTCACTAAACCAGTATATGACCCTCCTTGTGTTTCAGTAACAGATATAGCAAAATAAGTAAAACAGAAACACAAAATAAGGTAAACTTTCCAAGGAAAATGCCAGCTGGACTCCCTATTGGGTCCAACCCACATATCTGTTCAACTGGCTGGCTGCATTTTTTCCATGTGTCATCTTGCATGTGGGCTTGTGAAGAAACAGCATGAACTGGGCTTTTAAAAACCCCTGGAATACAAGTGTGCAAATGTTTCAAAGTCAGACCTTCCAACTCTGACCTCTCTACATTCTAGCAGCAATGTTTTGATATTTGATTTTCCAATTGGAATGATCAGTTTTAAGATTAAAATGCTTCTGGTTAGGTTGGAATGATTCATTATGATGCTTGAATACTTCCAGACAAGAACAGAAACCAGAATGCTTTGATTTGGAAATGATTTATGCACCTTTACCTGAGAGTTCATTTCTGGTCAGGCTCAGATAAGCATGTGTAATAGACCTGTTTAGAAAATGTTGCTGGAAATATGCAGTCAGTAAGATGCATATTAAATCAAATCACATTATAAATGTATTTCTTTCAGTGATAGCAAAGGCTAACAAGTAAGAGTTTAGTTCATAAAATGCCATCCATATCCGAGGAATTTAAACAAAGGCAGTAAAATATGCAAATATATTTATTTAAATTTAAGTTATTAATGAATTAAAAAGGATTAATTATTTGCTTTGCAACATCCGGGTTCTTTTACTCACCTCCTCGAAGACTTGAGAGATCATAGCTGGCAAAGTCAGGCTGTCCTAACATATCTATGTACATTGTTGGAGTGCCAAGCACATGGGTGCATCTGCAAAGAAAGACAAAGAATTACAGGCTGATGAAATAAACACAACTGATTTTTCCAATCAAACTTAGGGCTAAGGGCTAAGTGTTCTTCCTCTGTAGTTATAGGAAACTGTTTTCCCATAGGAAAAAGAAATGAGTTTTCAAATAAAGCAAGCATTTTAAGTCCTACATTTCAATTTAAAAATCCGATATCGTGTAATTGGCATGATTTTCAGAATAGAACAGAATAACAGAGTTGGTAGGGACCTTGAAGATCTTCCAGTCCAACCCCCTGCTCAGCCAGGAGACCCTATACTATTTCAGACAAGTGGATGTCCAGTCTTTTTTTAAAAGTCTCCAGTGAGGGAGCACCCACAACTTCTGAAGGCAAGCCGTTCAATTCGTTTATTGTTCTCACTTTCTCCTTCTAGGTTCTAGATTGCTTCTCTTCTTGATTAGTTTCCAACCATTGTTTATTGTCTTGCCTTCTGGTTCTTTGGAAAATAGGTGGACCCTTCTCATCTTTGTAGCAACCCCTCAAATATTGAAACACTGCTATCATGTCGCCTCTGGTCCTTCTTTTCACTAGACTAGGCATACCCAATTCCTGCAACCATTCTCCATATGTTTTTGCCTCTGCCCCCCGAATCTTCTTTGTTGCTCTACTCTGTACTCTTTCCAGAATCTCAACATCTTTTTTATAATGTGGTGACCAAAACTGGATGTAGTATTCCAAGTGTGGCCTGACAAAGGCCTTATAAAGCGGTACTAACATTTCAAGTAATCTTGATTCTATCCCTCTGTTAATGCAGTCTAGGACTGCACTGGCTTTTTTTGGTGGCTGCAGCACAATCCTAGCTCTTATTTAAGTGACTGTTCACCAGGATTCCAATATCAAATCAATATTCATATTTCAGGGAAGAAAGGGAAGATGGAAAAAGGTATCCAATAATTGCCTGTGCATGTTATATGGTTGTCCACACAAAGAAGAGACCAAGACATTCCAGCTCTGTCTCAAAAGAAGAGAAAAGGATGCAAAATGGAGACAAGATGGAGGAAGGGTAGCAAAGGTCTAAATTAAGGGTAACTGTAATTAGTATTAACTAGTTATTAATACAAATAATTATTATATTAATACTCTTTCCAGAACATAACTTCAGCCAAATTCTTACTTTTCATGTTCTATAGCTTTCAGACTGGCTCTGGAATTAAAGCTGAGACATGGGAAAATAAGGGAGACACCATGAACAGCCATCACCATACAGCCTCCTACAGATCCTAGGCAGTGGTAGAGAGGGACGGGGATACAGCAACGAGTTTCCTAGGGTCAAAACAAACGAGATAGCAGTGAGTCATTTTCCAATATAAGTCTTCATCATGTTTATAATTTTTTATCCCATAAGCAAGAAGAATCCCTCCTGGAGATTTACAAAGGGAGAGTTGGAGTTACACAGATGGGATAGTGACTGGAGGAGGGAAGGGCAGGCTGGACCTCTTCAGTTCTTAGTCTTCCATAGAATATTAGTTTCATTTTTAAATAGGAATTTCCATGTAAAATGTTCCCTAGAATTGAAAAGTCAGAAACATTTACAGGATAAGAATATCCTATAAGAAATTCACATTGGTGGTATGTAAGACCAAGCCTTCTAAAATCTGATGGCAAAAACACGTGATTGATAGTTCTTTGAAAAGCACCAAGGTTACCAATCTTCAAATTGTATTTTGAAAACTGTAATATATTATCTGTAGAGACAGGATTTGAAGAGTTTCCATTCTGTACATAAAGAAAACAGCAGGCAGAGAAGACTTACCAACTCATGTAGTCCCATTCTTATACCAATAAAACTTGCATTATTTAAAATATTAAAGTGAGAAAGTGTTGCTCCTTTTGGACTTCCTGTTGTTCCCTGAAGGAAAGAGAAAATTTATTTACTAATTAGGATGATCCTAACACACTATAAAAGTTATAAGAGATCAATTGCTTTAAAATGGAATGCTATAGTGATATCACAACTCTGAAAAATCTTATGAATACAAGATCAGGCCAGATTTCAGAAGATAGGAAGAGTCACACATAGCTCAAACAACTACTGTGTTAGAAAAAAAATGTGTAAGAGACCATCTAAAGATGACTGGAAGTGGAAAAAAATGAAGGAACAGAGGACAGTTGGTTCTGGTTCCAAAAAGGAATGAAAAGAGGGTTACAATTTTAATCCTCAAACAGGCAGAAAAGAGGCACAGATATGTGAAACCAAGTATAGCTTCTCTCACATAGGAGTTAGTGGTTTCCAGAAATTTATTGGGTTTCAATCTTTGGATCTCAAGCCTTGACTTTTGTCTAAAAATTCTTATTTTATATGGTTGCAATTCTCTGCTGATCAAGTTATAAATTGTCTACATTCTTCTCAAATACTAGGGCATTATTATGAAATAAATAAATAAGCAATCAAATTTATATAGCTGCCCATCTCACTGAAGATGACTCTGGGTGGTGCACAGCAATAGACAAAACAAAAAATATATAAAAACAGCAAAATGCAAATGTAAAAAGTAGTAAATATCCTAAAAACCCAAAATACAAGCATAGGTGAAGGGAGAATTAAAAATGGCTCCCTCAGCAATGAAACTGTTTAGACAAGCCTTCAGTTCTGGGGGAGGCCCTGACCTGATCATAGAACCAAATCTGAGGGCGTTTTGGAATATCAAAAGTCAAGTAACTTGTGTGTGTGTGGGGAGAAAGATTTTGCATAAGGCAGGTGAAATATATTATATGGAATGATTCCTAACCTCTAAATTACTTTTGAACTTCAGGGTTAGAGGCTTTGGAAAATGTGTCTAAATTTCAAAAAAGAAATTCCTAGCTGACATTGCTTAGAAAGGTTCCATTCCAAATCGCCTACTAGTCTGGACAACTGCTGTCATTCTGTTAACAACACTGAACCATGCGGTCCAATGCTCCTAGATCTAAAGTAAAATATGACCAAAAAGATGTAGGGATAGCCCTCCTCCCCCCAAAAAACCTAAATAGGCAATGAAACATTCATGGATTAAGATATTTTAAGTTTGTGTACTTTTATATGGCACTTTTTCGTCCCCATATTGACAAATATTTTGAAGTTAATATTATACAGCCACATGTTCAGTTCAAAAGTCATAATATTTCAGACTCTGAAAAATGAGATATAGGTCATCTTCGAGGTATGATAGGCCATTTAATGAACATTCATAGTTACTAAAGATTCCTCCACCAAGCTACGTATGACACCCCATTTTAAAGTTACGACGGCTGTAGCAGCCCTGCAGCCATTTACCCTCACAACCCCGCACAGGGTTACTGCAGCACCCCCTGCCTCTCTCCCCCCCTATGCAGCATTTGGGTCTCCTTCCTAAATGCCCCTCATGCACCACACTTACCTGTAGAAGCTCCAGGACCTCATGTTGTGGAAGAAGGGCAGGCCAAAATGGCAGCCAACAGACAAACTGCTTCTTTTTCTGCCTTAGAGAGGTCGACCTTGTTAAAGTAGCAAAACAAAGCAGTTTTCTCCAGGCCACACAGCAATAACCTGAATGCAGCCACCATTTTGTCCCTCCCACAAACAGCTTCTGCAATGCTGCAGAGACCTTTCTGAGGCAGCAGAATAAAGCATTCAGAAGCATTTCTGCAGCAATGTGCAGACCTTGTTAGGGTAGCAAAATGAAGCGGTTTGTCCGCAAGACGTGCAGTAGAAACCCAAATGCAGCCATTATTTTCGGGGTGAGATAAAATGGCAGCTCCTTTCAGAATCATGCCATCCAGCCATGCAAAGAAGCAAGTCATTCAGTGGTCTGGAAGACCTTAGAGTTCTTCAAAAGATAATTGAGAAGGGTATTTGGCCTGGTCGGGTGGGAATTATGCCTGGGAGGACCCAGTGGGAGTGGGTAAAGACCTGTTGGGACTCAACGCACAGGAAGTGGAGCATGGGACATCTTCGGGGTGGAGGAAGCCTTGGGTGGGCTAGGGCAGGTGGGCCTGGGCCTGTATTAGGCCTCCAGCGGCTTCCCCCCTAGGAAGCCCCCCACATTCCAATTAATAATAGGCCTGTTTGTTTAAAGAATAGAATAGAATAGAATAGAATAGAATAGAATAGAATAGAATAGAATAGAATAGAATAGAATAGAATAGAATAGAATAGAATCTGGAAAGGACCTTGGAGGTCTTCTAGTCCAACCCCCTGCTCAGGCAGGAAGCCCTATACCATTTCAGACAAATGGTTGTCCAATCTCTTCTTTAAAACTTCCAGTGTTGGAGCATCCACAACTTCTGGAGGCAGGTTGTTCCACTGATTAATTATTCTAACTTTCAAGAAATTTCTTCTTAGTTCTAGATTGGTTTCCATCCATTGCTTCTTGTCCTGCCCTCAGGTGCTTTGGAGAATTTCATTGGGGAGAGCAGGGATGGAGGTCATTAGGTGACACATTTTACTTAATAATTGCCATGCCATGTGACCATAAAGGCAGTCTCCATTTCAATCGTATATCAAGGACTACCTGTACATGTACATAGACATAGGTTCCAAAATACTTCTTTCAGAAGGTTTGCATATTCTTAATATATAACAATTATGTTTTTATAAAGAGCCCTATGGCCAAAAAAAATCACTATTAATAATTCTTTGCAGTAAATTCTAAGTATCAACTTATTCCACTTGACAAAAAAATCTTCCTATCTCTGACCATCATGGGCTGCATTTTTTTTTAATACTGGAAAAGATATATAGCAGTCGATATAGTACTTACTGAAGTAAATTGAATATTAATAGGTTCTTTGTTGATCAGCATCTTCCGAATCTCCTGTAGCTCCTTCTTGTGGCTGCTCTCTCCAGCTTGCATCACTTCCTGCATTGAGAATGTGCCAGGTAGCTTGCTGTCCACGCAGATTATAACAGAAAGCTCTGGTAATCTGATACAAAGGAACATCCAGTTACTTCTATGACAAAAGAGAGAGTTCAATCTCTCAAGAAGCTCAAGGAATAAAACCCTCAAACTATAGGTCAAATCAAATATAGGTAGTCCTTCAATTACAACCACAACTGAGCCCAAAATTTATGTTATTCAGCAAGACATTTGTTAAGTGAGTTTTATCCCATTTTATGACCTTTTTTGCCACATTTGTTAAGTGTTAAGTTACTAACACGGTTGTTAGTGAGTCTGGCTTCCTCATTGACTTTGGTTGTCAGAAGGTTGCAAAAATTGATCACATCACCCCAGGACGCTGGAGCTGTCATAAATATGAACCAGTTGTCAAGCATCCAAATTTTGATCATGTGACCATGAAGATTCTGCAATGGTTGTAAATGTGAAAAATGATCATAAGTCACTTTTCTCAGTACAACTGTCATGCTTCCAATAGACAGAGACAAATAAAGCAGAATTCAGAGGCTTGGAAATTCCTCAAAGAACATGTTTATTAGTTACAAAGTATCAGCACAATCAAAAGTGAAACCAAGTCTGAAATTCCCACTAAAAAGTTTCCAGTTACAAAGTATAATATCCCACCCACAAAATTATGTCATCACTACGTTCCCCAATACATTCATTTGGCGGGCTTTCTTATACAATGCCCAGTCTCTGCTTGCGGGAGCAATAGCTGACCTTGGTTCCCACAGGACAGAAGATTATTTTGACTAGTGAAGCACCTGGCTAAGCCCCTCTCCCTCCATGCTATGTGACAACCTAGAATGAAGAAAAAGATGGCTGCAGCCAGGCTTAATGTAAGGTTGGCAACCACTGTAACTTTGAATGGTCATTAAATGAATGGTTGTAAGTCAAGGACTTCCTATATACAATTAGGATTTTTTCTGATGATGATTTATATCCCATAATGAGATTATGATTTCCCCTTATGGAGAAAACAAGATTTCCATTATTTGTATGGCGATCGAAAGAATAACAGAATAACAGATTTGGAAGGGACTTTGGAGGTCTTCTAGTCCAACCCTCTGCTCAAGTAAGAACCCTATACCATTCAGACAAATGGTTGTCCAATCTCTTCTTAAAAACTTCCAGTGTTGGAGCACCCACAAGTTCTGGAGTCATTCCATTGATTAATTGTTCTAACTGTCAGGAAATTCCCCCTTAGTTCTAGGTTGCTTCTCTTCTTGATTAATTTCCATCCATTGCTTCTTGTCCTCCCTTCAGGTGCTTTGAAGAATAGATTAAGAGAAAATAAATAGATTTGGAGAAACGATTAGGAATTCATAGCCATAAGCAAGTTCTTCAGAAAGCTGAAGGGATCTGGGTTTGGTTTTGTTTTTTGGTAAAATTCCATTGTTGGGATCTAAAATGACAACCATGCATTATTTTTTAAAAAAAATATCAATATTTTTAATAATGCCCATATGCTATTGTAATACTTTCCCACTAAATATATTTTCCTTAAAAAGAAATGTATGATACTCCAAAATGGAGTGGGCAGCAGTTTAGATTATCAGAAAAGAGACTGTAATAAACCAGAAAGTTTTATCAGTTCCATTTATTTCTGTATGTCCGAACACTGAGAATTAAAAAAAATGTGGTTAGTATTGCAATATTTGTACATGTTCAATGTTATGTAGAATACACAAAGAGAATGCCCTTTTAACCTTCCTTGGCAGAAGTAACTTTGCATTTCCTACTGGAGGAATGAGGGCAGGAAGGTTAAAATTATCCAGGTTCACATGACCATGAAGAACTAAGGAATATTTGGCTATACAAAATTCCACATCAGACCTGTCAGATCTGTTTGGCTTTATAAAAATATATGTCTAATGAACCCATAAGAGGCTAGGAAGTAACTGTGATCATAGACTTTATCCTCCTTTACTCATTCCAGGAGAAAAAGAATATTCCCCAGGTCAAAGGAGTGGCTGTATCAACATCTGTCAGTGCTGAACCAGTTAATGAATACACTGATCCATTATAAATGTATATGAGAGGGACCAACTGAACCAGGATTGCATGTTTATGAACTTTGCCCATTATTATATCAGGGCAAAGTGTTCAAGAATTTTTTTGGGAAAAAATGAACATTGTCTTGCTTATTATTCACGTTAAGCCCTTTGAAGTATTTAACATTTATTTTCAATCATAATTAAATTGAATTAAATTTAGATCATAATTAAATTGAAAAGAGAAAGAACATATGTACATTCACATAAATACTGAGACTATTCCTGTGGAGATCCATAGTTAAATGCAAATTATAGACTAGGATCACACAACAGACTATGCCCTTAAAGCTAAACCTACTATGACACAAATATACATTATAGTTTATTCGCACCATGTGTGAATCCAGTCAAAGTTTTTATGTCCTGAACTAATGCCTCACAAACAAGAAAGAAAACATGGTACATGATACAAACCAGAGGCAGAACTCTTGTAGCTTTTTAGTGCACATGCTCCAGCAACATTCATTTCCCTCAGACTGCTAAATGCTGGAATGAAACAACTCTCTGAGGCACAATATATAAACTTACTTCTTGTTCTTCAGTGCTCCTGGATTAGAATGTTCCAATTCTGGGCATACATTTTTCAAGATCTCATAGTATTTCTGAGTTTTAAACTGGGCAGGGAACACAAGTGCTTTGCAGCCAACCTATAGAGATACACATAAGAAGAAAGAAAATAGCTTGCAAACCAAGCTATATAACAAAGTCTCACTGCATAGAAACAGTGAAGAAAATTCCCTGGAAATACTACAGTGTTCATGCACTATATTGTGGGAAAGTCACACAGAACCTTAACATTCCACACTCATCAGTGTCTCCCTGGATTTGTCACTTGTAGGCTACTGTTCAGTGAGCGGTAAAGTTCAGGGTAAGACCACTTTCTCCAAATATTAATTATAATGTTAATTAGAGGGTCCTTGATCTGGAAGGATCACTTAGTTCATGGAGTGGAATCCCCTGAAATGCAGGAGGAACTTCTCCACCACCAAATTCAAACAGATTGATCCATATGAAAAGCAATCATGGTGTATGCTACACACTACAGTGTACAAAGTATTTAGTTCATGAGACAAAGAAAACATTGACCAAAAGAAAGTCTTAATGTTATATGTATTAAAAGAACTTCCATTTTCTGAATTCTTTCTTATCATCCAATAAAATTTTATTTCTAGAAAGGAGCCCTATGGAAATTTACTCAGAAGTAAGTCTTATTCATACTCATAAGTTTATTCTCATGTATGTGTAGCTTACCAAGATGACATTTTCAATTCCAATGTATTGGATAGGTTGTTTTATAAACAACTCGCCTTAAATGTAAATTATATGAATCTAGTGCCTGTATACTATTTCTGTTTCATCCCAAATGCTGGTTGTACTTTCCCCCCTCTAAATGTAAGTCTGAGGTATTCTTAGAGATTTGGCATGGTCAAGAATGATCTCGTTTGCCTCCGGGGCAGGGCCAGTCTTGAATGGAACTCACTATCCAATGTGTATGTACAGATTTTGCCCTAAATAGCTCATGGTTCCTTTGAAATATGCCCCAATGAATTCAGTGAAATTAACTGCTATGTAAGCTTATAGTGAAAGATCAGAGGATTGGCACCTCCCACAGTTAAATTGGTCAGCAGATTTTCTCTCTGAAAAAGAGATTAGACTATAAAAGTAATTTTTGGACTACGAAAATAACAGCAATTTTTGTACTGTGCTTAGCAGCACTGGAATATGTGGGTAAATCTATTGCTTTCCTCGAGCACCACAGAAATAGAAACAATCATAGAACCTGTCAAATCTAATACATATTCCAGGTCTTACATGATTTATGCTTCTTATTTTTCAACACTCAGAAAATGGGACTGGCAAATAGCCATTCGAATTGCTAGCAAACAAACCACAAGAAATAGGAACGGAGAGGAAGGAAGAGACTCTAAACAAAAAAAAAATTAATGGAATCATGAAGCTGAAACAGCAACTCAGCAACAACACCCACCCACCCACCCAGTATATTGGGTTAGGGACAATACTGTGGACATTGGGGAAAATTCAGAAATGCCCTGGCATTAAAACACTATTTTAAATTATTGACTGAGATATGGAGGCCTCTTAATCCTAATAGGATTAATTTTATTTATAACCATTTAACAGCTTTAATCCCCCATTATTAAGGATAAGAAAGTTGAATGGCATAGTTAGGACTGGCCTCCCTGCACAGTGGTAGTCTAATTGAAGTAGGAAACAAGCAGTCCAGATCAGCTGACTGGCGGGGAAAGCGAGTCCCATGTCACCTGGCTCCATCAGCTATTCCTTTGTGATCAAGGGTCATGGGTTGCCCAGCTATGAGGTATATTATTAGGAAATGCTGAAAAGCACCTGACTCCCATATTAAACACCAGAGTTTACTTTGGCTCCCTGAAATATCCTTAGGCACTAGCTGATTGCACATTGAGCAGCAAATATTAACATTTCATACAATAGAGACTGTTTTACATTTCCATGCTACACTTTTATTGTTGGATGCTCCTTATTTTTCCACATCAACAGTAACAGTGATATTCCATGGAAAGTCATTAGACTCTCTGTCTGTGGACAGGCATCAGAGCACTAGCATATGAAAAGATAAGATCATTCTTTGCTTATAGTTAACTGGCACTACAAAATTAAGAATAAAATAACCTCTTAGTTGGATCTGAGCAGAGAAGTGTTAAATCAGATGTTGCTAGCTAGACATTCATAAGCAAACTGAGTATAACACTGCTCTCTGTTGAGTACTCCTGGCACCTGACATTCACAACTGCTCTAGTTATAAAATGGATGTATAAATATATAAAATGTAAGTATCCTGATTAACTATTGCCAACTCTACAATCATTCATGGTGAATGCCAACGCTATAGGAGGTAGAGAGATGTCTTTCCCACCACCTAACTAAAAAGTTTCAGATACTTCCATTTCTCCCCACAGTTATTTATTTCCCTGTCCTTTCCCTCTTACTTCATCATTATCTCAAACATTCTATTTCCAGAAGAGAAAATTCTATCAAAAATCCTAGGGGTGAAATTAAGTAGAGATGATGCAACAGATCTTTAATACCTTCTTCAGGACGAACTCCATCTCATGGGACTGATAGGCTGGGTTCACAGATACCTGGAAATGCAGCAATAGTAAAATCAGTCTGCTGTGAAGACTTATAAGTAAGATCCAGATTGCCAGTTCTGCAAATGAAAGGACCCCCTTCTGTTCATATGTAAAAGAGACCAGGATCCAGCAAAAGCTCTCTGCTGGAGGAAATACTGTACATGGGGAAAAGACCTTCCCCAAGTCCACCTTATCCCTACAGTTCATTTCTTGTATACCCTGAGCGGTTCTCCAAACAGTTTCTAGGAAGAAGAGGAGACTGCAGGGGGAATTTAGAATAAATTGGTTTCCTCTGCCCTGATCCAGAGCAAGCAGAGCTCCCGAAGTGCAGGTCTTTATGCAGCCCAGTAATAACAAAGGCAAAAGGTCAGACATCTTATGGTAATATTGGCTTTGGAGAATCATGAAGGTAAATTAGCAACACACATTCTGTGCATTTTAAAGTATTTTTCTTCTCATTTGGGAATCTTTTGCTTTTATCTATGTGTATTATTATTGCTCTAGTTCTGCTTTCCATAGAAGAAATGTCCCCTTAATATACCAACCAGGAGATGGAGGAGGAGGACGAGAGGATTCCGCACTGGGCAGATTATTGCACTCAATGATATCTGAAGTTCTTTCCAACACTTACATTCTATGATCCTCTAAAGTAAATCCTCTGTAGTATCTATGGTCATGTGGCCAGCAATATTGTGCAATTAGAATGTACTATATTCAAATGTGTGGTCTTCTTGCCAAGATATTTAGTTTCACAATCTCTATCCTTTTCAGCTTAAAGCAATTGTCTTCTACAAAGCAAACATTCTTGCCCATTTTACCCCAAGGTTGGTGAAAGATATAACACATTTTTTAAAGTAAAATCTGAAGTACACAAATAACACAAAATCATATTTTTTTCAATGCAATTGGTTATACACTTTTCTGCTTGACCATTTAACGATGTAAAGCAATCTGCCACAAGCATATTAAAATTCTGTTTTTGTTTTTTTCACAATGTTAATAGCAAGGAAGAAGTTCAAAAATACAATAAATGACACACATGAAATTTGTTTTAGGACCTTTTCACACTGGGGCCTTCAGTTGCTAGTCACCAGGGTATGAATGGTTAGAAACAAAGCAGCTTAAGGAATCTTTTTCCAGACTTCAATTCTTCCTTTGCTTTAACCTGATGTTCTACCTGGACCTCATTTACCATTGCCCACAACTGGTAGAGTACATTGCTGTTTTATCCTTTCTGGATTGGCTTAAAAAATAAATAGAGGAAAACATTGTAGTTTTACTATGTTTCCTATCACTTAGGTTGGGAGATGGGCATCCACAAGGAATGGGGACGGGAGGGGGTCAAAAAAAGATGGTAGCCATGGCCATGTAATTAGAACTCTCCCTCTTCTTTTTGAGATGCATGCACACAATTCCTGTAAAAACAGAAACAGGACTTTGACTGTCAGTTGCATCTGACATCTTGCTCAAGATGCCACAGTGGAAAAGCTAGAAGTGGGAAATCATTTTAACCATAAGGGGAGGGGGAGGAATGGAGAAATTATTCTATGGCTGTTGGTGCAAAAGTAAATAAATCCTGGCCATAGAGGGCAACAAGCAATAACCAGAGGAAAGGGGGTTCCTTGTCAAAGGGCACAATAGGCAGCAAGAGTGAAGGGATTTGCCTGGAATGAAATGGTGCATCAAGCCATCTGGATAGCATTGGCATCGACAAGCTATCAAAAGTCACAAAATGCTGACTTTTATTGCATAGAATAAAGATGGGTGGGGATTGCTTTCCTGCTGGGCTGGAGGTGAACAGATTTCCATTGTGCGTCCTACCCTTGAGAAATGATCATGGCCAATATGTGTACAAGGGCAAGCTGGTTAAATTGCCCTTTTTTGGAAGCAGCGTACATTGGTCAAAAAACATCTCTTCAGCTGACAGAATTCTATACCAGGAAGCTAGATTGTTTTCAGCTCTGTTGAAAGTGCATTGATCTCCAGATTTTATGCAAAATTATACCTGGTGCATGATGAACATTATTTAGATTCACATGGTCCCTTCTCTAGTATGACAGCCTTATGTGGAGTCCTCCCTTAACCTCCCACTCTACTCATCTGCTTACAAAAGAGATGAACTTACCAGAATGATCCCTGCCTGGGCTGTAGCGAATTGCATTAGGACCCATTCGTAATTATTAGGACCCCACATTCCTAACCGGTCACCCTTTTTCAATCCAAGGGCCAGAAGCCCAGTGGCAGCTTGCTCTACCTGCAATTTTCAAAAAAACAGGAGTCTCAGCAAACTAAACTCCAGAGGTAAGGAATAACAGAATATACGAAATGAATACTCTGTGCTATGCAATAAAGACACTGAAGTAGCCATTGTAAGTATTTAAATAAAAGAAATTGGCAGTTTATCATGCATTCATACTCCAAATTTGAAAATATCACTGAATGGAAATCTCCAACATTCTTACGTTCCTGAATCCAGAAAATGTTCTCGGTTCCACCTTTGGATAGAAAACATGCAACCCAAGGAAGACAGATGTGACTTGAGGTCACATCTGAGCTTTTATTACAGTGTTTAAATCTCTGATAGAGAATTAGGAACTGAGATATTAATTTGGGCATTTAATAAATACAGTAAGAACTTTATTTTAACCAAGGTCTCATCAAGGTTTACTTCCACCTTCTGTTTTCAGTTCTAATCTTGGTATTTTTGAGCAACCTTGAAATTTATGGATTTATTTATCTTTCACTGTTTGTTTTCCCCAAAGACTCTGAGTGGTTTGTTTACAGTATATATAAGGGAAAATAAAATTAAGCAATCAAAAAGCATGCATGTCTGGAAGAGTGAAATAACCAAACATGCTCCAAACCAACAAAACTACAAAGTTTGCTCAGCATCCACTCTAACCCCAGAGCTGGAGGCAGAGCCATACTTTTAACACCTTCTATCACAGCTGTAGGTGGGGATCATAGAGATCTCTGGGAGGATGTAGGCCACAATAGAAAAGGTGATTGTTTCGGTCCTGATAGATGACATTTTTTGATTGAAGGGACCTGCTGTGTATCCATTCTGCTGGATCACACTTGGGGGGAGGCAGAAAGGCCAGAACCTCTGTAACATTTTAAAATGTGTTTCTCTAACAGTGGGGACAGCTTTTCTAATCATTTTATTCTTTTATTTTTTTCATTCAACTTTAAAATGCAGCCAGTTCAACCTGTTAACTTTATTTACCCCCCTTCTATCCTTTTTAATTATTTTATTTACATACAATATTTACTGAACAACAAATTGCCAACACTGGCAGTACAGAAGCTGTAACAGTTACCTACATCTTGCTTAAATTGAGAAAACGTTTTTCGGATCCCTTCAGTTAAGAATACCAAGGCTTCTCTTTCTGGATATCGGTCGGTGGTTTCCTCTAGGCACTGATCCACAGTTTTGGAAATAAGTGGAATATCTGAAGGCCCATTCAGATAGCTTTTTTTGATTACAGGTGTGGCAGGGGGCATATCAAATGGTAGAGCACTGTAAAAGCAGCAAGAAAGAATTAGAAGTTACAAGCAGCAAAATCATTCACGCTGGGGAAGAAAACAAAGAATTGTTGCACGAGATCAACTACTGCAAACTAACCAATAAAAATAAGAAAAAATATATAAAGATATAATGTGCCATTAATAATTTTAACTGTGATCCTATATCTCAGGGCTTTTCAACCAGTGGTACGGGTACCACCTGTGGTACATTGGCACCTGGCAGGTGGTATGCAACCATCCTAGAAAAGTGGGAGCGGGGGAGGGGAATGAGAGTGCCGCCAGGCGGGCAGGCAGGTGTCTTGCTCGGCTGTGGCTTGGGGGGCACTTTTTTCAGTGCCATTGTAACTTCGAACAGTCACTAAGCGAACTGTTGTAAGTCGAGGACTACCTGTACTTTATCACTTTTTTCCTTTTTTTTTGGGTCATCAAGTTTTTGACACCTTGCTAGGCAACTGGTGGTATTTGGATACTGCCATATCCTAAAACTGGCACAATGGGTGAAAAGGTTGAAAAGCCCTGCTATATCTGATTTTCCATTTGACATCTTTATCTTCATCAGCAAGATCATTTGTAAATGGATATATCTCACAATTAAATGTCTATGAGCAGCTGTTTGTTCTGATTGACATTGTTTTGTTGTTGTTCAGTTGCTGGGTGGTGTCTGACTTTTCGCGACCCTATGGACTATGGCAGGGATTCTCAACCTTGGCAACTTTAACACTTGTGGACTTCAACTCCCAGAATTCCTCAGCCAGAAAAGCTGGGAGTTGAAGTCCACAAGTCTTCAAGTTGCCAAGGTTGCGAACCCCTGCACTATGGTATGCCAGGGCCTCCTGTCCTCCACTGTCTCCAGGAGTTTGCCCAAATTCATGCCCATTGGGTCCATGACACTATCTAACCATCTCATCCTCTGCCCTCCCCTTCTCCTTTTGTCTTCAATCCTTCCCAGCAGCAGAGTCTTTTCCAATGAGTCCTCTCTTCTTATTTGGTGGCCAAAGTACTTGAACTTCAATAACTGTCCTTCCAAAGAATAGTCTGGACTGATTTCCTTTAGGAATTAATTTATTTAGTCATAAGCAATTCTAAGGTGTTTCATTTCTTAATAAGTGATAGGTTTTTGTTGCTTTTGTAAGAGAGCCAAAGGTCTATTTCTGGGGACACAGTGACAGCAGGATTTTTCAAAGTGTGAGGCTCATTTTTCTAATTGCAGGAGAAAAAGAAGAGTAGGAAATTGCACTGCTGAATTTTAGCAGCAAATGTTGGAGATGCTTTAATTTGGCAAAATGGGGACATGGCCCCATTTGACTTATGGGCCCCATGGTTTCTCACTTGATGTATTCAAAGAACATTTTATTTGCAATGTTAAATATAAATCATAGTTCAGCCACAATATAGTCAGGTGAAAACTAGCGAGGCAAAATTTAAACCAATGTTAGGAAACCACATTTATCCTAAAGACAACTGTATAAGGCAAACTTCCAGTTTATCTTTCTCAAAAACAGAACATCATGCACGGTTTCCCATCTAAAACCTCATTTATTTAGTTGTTTGCTAAATTCTTAAACAAACTGGAAACCCAAATTATTTGGAGGAAAAAATGAATAACATACCAATGTTGATAAATGAGAACACTGCATCACTAGGTTTTACTCAGGTAAAGTTCTGGCAGTTAACATTGGTACTAGAATATTGTGATTCCTCCAGTCTTACTTTATCCTTAGCTTGTTATTTAAACAGTTTTATTCCAATCAGGAAAAAATCAAGTCAATGTTTTTCCTGTTTAAACTTACACACAACTATAGATATAAATTTTTATCATATTTCCTTTTTCCTTTTGGTGAAGCATTGCAAGTTGATGAATCATTTCTAGAGTCATATAAAATATATGCCACTGAATTTTCATCAGCTATTTAGGATCCTCAAAATATTTGCCCACCAAATAATGTGTTTTGTTAGCCAGCCAGCCAGGAGAGTTTACCACAATTCCAGCAAGTCATGGTAGCAATACTAGAGAAAAAAGGTTCTTGATTTTGACCTACTATGTGTTCTTAGAGTACATAGTTTACAAGCAAGACCATTCAAAAGAGATAGCTTAAACCAGTGTTTCTCAACCTTGGGAATTTTAAAATCTATGACTTCAAGTCCCAGAATACCTCAGCAAGAAAGGCTAGCTGAGGAATTTGGGGAGTTGAAGTTTACACATCTTGCTTAGAAGTTACCAGTGAAAAATCCATTCTAATAGGTATTTGTGATAAGAAGAAAAGTATAATGACAGTGGGAAAGCAAATATGGAAAACTCCATCAGTGAAACATGGCAATTGCATAATAAAACTCTCATCAGACTGTAGATGCAGCAGGTGACAGTAATTGTTCTCCTAGTTGAGTCTCATGAAATATGCTCAATTTGAATGTGCTATGGGGGAATCTGTGAAGTAACTAAAAGGGATGGATACTGGTGTAAGCATCAACAGCAAATGAAGGTAAGGTTTTTACACATTATGTAAGTGAAAGCCTTTAATTATGGCATGCCTGTGGGGCCTAAAATTATAGTAGTTTAATACACTATTGTGACATAGAAATCTGCTAGTAGAATATCATAAAAACATTTCTTCTCTGCCTCTGTCTCATGTGACACAACAATTATCTCAGTCTCACATTCTTTGTGTGTGGGATACTACACAAAGTATTAGTTTAGAAAAGGGTCAAATAACAGTACTAAACAAAATGCACATTGTATATTCACTAAATACCAAAATTAGAGGTATTAGGAATGGGTAATAAAATATCCCAGAATCTGGAATTTATTACAGTACTATACATTACTGCTGTATAGTTTCATAATTGTTTGTTTTGTAATAGATTTACAGATTCAGTCAGATATAAGCCTCTTCTTTCTTTAAGTCTTTTTGTCAAAGTTTCCACAACATTTCTGTTCTAAATACATGGCCAAATGTTAAGGAAAAGCCACATTCTAGTAAGTAATTCTAGTAATTAATTCAATATTACAAAACAAGTGATGGAAATAGCAAATAGATATTTGAAAATTTAATGTTAATTTTTCTCATATTTTTTTAAAAGATATTTAATAATACTTCATGCATAATTAAATAGAAAACTGAAGATTCCCCAATCTAATTTAATATGTGATGAACAGAAACATTGCAAAGTAAAAATCTGTCTACTTCTAGCAGTGAAATTAGACATTGGTAAACAATGGAAATATGTAGACCATAACTCATGTGGACACATGATATGATAAGATCTAATCTATAGCCTTGCTTACAATCTGTTGTAGGGCACAGCAAAATAATCCATCATTATTTGACAAGGAATGGTGGCATTTCATTATTGCTATAAGAGATAAGAATTTTGGCAACATATTTCAGTAAGGTATTTGACAAGGTAGACCACAACCTACTCCTTGGTAAGCTAGGAAAAGGTGGAATAGACAACATCACCACCAAATGGATCTGTAGCTGGCTAACAAACCGTATTCAATGAGTAGTCCTCAATGGCACTACATCCACATGGAGAGAAGTAAGCAGTGGGGTACATAAGGTTCCGTCTTAGGCCCAGTACTCTTCAATATCTTCATAAATGACTTAGATGAGGGAATTGAAGGGGAACTCATCAAATTTGTAGATGACCCCAAACTGACAGGAGTAGCCAACACCCCAGAAAACAAACTCAGGATCCAAAAAGATCTTGGCAAACTTGAAGAATGGGCCCTATCCAACGAGTTTCAATGTGGAGAAAAGCAAAGTCTTACACTTAGGCAGGAAAAACCAAAGGTACAAATACAGATTGGGTGAGACCTGGCTTAAAAACAGTAACTGTGAGAGGGACCTTGGAGTCCTAGTGGACAATCACTTGACTATGAGCCAGCAGTGTGCAGCACCAACCAAAAAAGCTAATACAATCCTGGGCTGTATAAACAGAGGCATAGAATCAAGATCATGTGAAGTATTAGTATTGCGTTATAAAACCCTAGTAAGACCACACCTGAAATATTGCAGCCAGTTTTGGTCACCATATCACAAAAAGGATGTTGAGAGTTTGGAAAAAATTCAGAGAAGAGCAACTAAGATGATCAAAGGTCTGGAGAATAAAACATACAAAGAACGGCTACGGGACTTGGGTTTGGCTAGTCTAAAGAAAAGAAGAAATAGGGGAGACATGATAGCAGTATTCCAGTATCTGAGAAGCTGCTACAAGGCAGAGGAGCCAGATTGTTCAGCAAAGCACCAGAGGGAAGGATGAGAAACAATGGTTGGAAACTGATCAAAGAGAGAAGCTACCTAGAATTAAGGAGAAACTTCCTGACAGAGAGGACAATCAACCAATGAAATAGCTTACCCCCAGAAATCTTGGGCGCTCCATCACTGGAGATTTTCAAGAAGAGACTAGACATTCACCTGTCTGAGATGATATAAGTTCTCCTGCTTGAGCAGGGGGCTAGACTAGAAGACTTCCAAGGTCTATTCTATTCTATTCTATTCTATTCTATTCTATTCTATTCTATCCTATCCCATCCCATCCCATCCCATCCCATCCCATCCCATCCCATTCTATTGTATAAAAAATTATGAACACTTTAAAATTACTTTTTTTCAGCACCATGTAATTTTTTGAAATGTACTTTAACAAATAAAATAAAAAGAAATTTAAAAACACACACATACATATTTCCTTGGATTAACAGACATTGTATGTCTGCTACAACTATGTTACATAATCTTCTGGAGTGTCTGTACATTCCACCTCTCTCTCCCCCCTCAATTTTGTATCTTGGAAAACAGAGAAGAAATGTAAGGAGAAAAGCAGTTTGTGCCTGTCTGTGTATGAGTGGGATGCTTGTTAACTATTTATTTAAAACATTTATATACCCATTCATCTAATACCAAACTGTGAGCAGCTTCCAGGATGGGACAATTAATTATGGTGTTTTGCAATCCTGCAAAACATGATAGAACAAGAAGTTAAGATGGAACA